CCTCGCTCTCTCCACGGCCCCCCAAACACATTCCCCTCCAACCCATCCGTAGTCTCCCTCCTCGTGACTGTCGCTCGCCTAACCGTTGCAGTCCCACCCCCACTGCCACTCCCACTCCCACCACTACTCCCACCAAACAGGCCCCCCAACCCCAGCGTCTGGCTCAAGCTCCGCGCCCGCCCCCTCAACCCACCCTCTACATTCCCACCCTCCCCATCCAAACCACCACCAGCCTCCGCCGCACTACCACCGCCATTACCATTCCCATTCCAACCCCCATTCTCATCCCCCCCATCATACCCATACCCATGCCCATGTCCATGTCCGTGGCTCTGACTCTGACTCTGGCTATGGCCATGCCCAAAATGCCCGCGCATAACCGCACGCAATTTATCACCCACCAACCACACTCACCGTACTAGAGAAGGGCGAGGGCGAGTACATGTGGGAGGGCGGGAGACGGGAGGTGCTCGCGGGGGCGCGCGGGGTCATGGGGCGTTGGTCTCGGTCTCTTTCTCGGTCTCGGTCTGGGTATTGGGATGGGGTGGTGCCTGCGCTGGTTGCGGCGGCGCTGCCGAGTGGGGTGGCGGGGAGGGGTTTTGTGGTTGGTAGTGGTGTTGTGGATGAGGATAGGGCTGTTGCGGTTATTTGGGCGGGTTCGGCGAGTAGTTGGGGCTCTGAGTAGGAGGTGAGTCCTGGCGAGGGTGGTGAAATAGTCTGCGGTGGCGAGGGTGGTGGTGGCGTCTTGCCAGGGGTTGGAGAGGAGGGGCGCGTCGGGGAGGCCGTCGTCTTCGTCGTCGAGGGGATGGCTCTGGCGAGGGTGGCTTGGGAAGGAACGCGGCATGGGGAGGCCGGCGTCGTGGATGTCGGAGAAACTGACGCGTGAAGTCCGGGAGGAACCCCCGGACCGGGAAGGGGGGTCGCGACGGCGGGGTTGGGGCGGTGTTGGCGGCGGCACGCGGTCCTGCTCTGCGAGGCCGATAGTCTCCTCGATGCCCTCGGCATCAGAGAGCGTGGGTTCGTCGTCGTCGTCCCGCCGCGACCGGCCGCTGGTGATCAGGAAAACGCCGAAGAAGGTGAAGAGGCAGCCGCCGATGAATTTGAGGGCCTGCTCGCTGGTGGTGCGCTCAAAGTCCCGGTAGAGGACGGCGCTGCCGATGATTACAGACAGTGTAAAGAGCACAAACTGGATCGGGATAACCTGGGTTGAGTCGAACCGCTGGAGCGCCTTGTTCACATAGCGGACCTGCATGATGGCGGTAAATAGCAAAATGAAGATCAGGACATAGGTGACAGGGGTGGTGAAGGCGCCAAATAGGGTCGAAGACAGCATCGAGGACACGCCCTTGGTCGCAAGCACGGTGTAACCACCGAATAGCCCCACAAGCCCGAGATCTACCAGGATCGTCTTGTGCCCATACTTCGGGCTCAGCCACATGAGCAGCACAATCAGCGCACAGCTGACGCCCAGGTAAATCTCGAACTCCATGGTCGTGATGGCATCCCACACCTCGTGCGGCCCCAGCTTGGTCTCCTCGGTCTCGGCGCTCAGCACCACCGTCACAGCGCCCGTGATGGCAATGATAACGCCCCAGAAGTCGCGCTGGCGGAACACCTCCTTGAAGAAGATGGGGGCGATCACGCAGTTGGAGACCAGGGCCACCACACCGAGGGGGCTGACGATGGAGGCCGGCGCAAAACCATAAGCCAGGAAGTTCCCCATCTCGCCGATGGTAATCAGGACTTGCCCCAACCACCAATAGGGGTCCTTTAGGTACGTCGAGGCAACCTTGGGCTTGCCGTCATGGTTGTGCTCCTCGTCGCCGTCGGCCGAGTCATCCGAGCGGAAGGACTGGGCGAGGGGTTCCGTCTCGGACGACCCGCGGATGCCATCATCACTATACCGACCGCTCCCGTACCCATTCGAGCCGCCATGGGAGTCGCCGTTTGGCGACACGGCAGCGCCGTACCGCCCCGCCCCCTGGCCCTGTGTCCCGCCCTCTGCATTGCGGATGGCCTGCCTCGCACGCTGCCGTATCTGTGCTTTCTTGCGGTGCAGCCGGGTGTGTGCGTAGCGCTGGACGTTGAGGGCCAGAGCGATAAGCACATTGCCGCAGATGGCTGTGATAATACCGATCAAGCTGGACCAGTTCTGGAGTTCGTTGCCGGGGCCGCCGGGGCCGCCGTCACCATCGCCGTCACCGTCGCCATCGGGAAGCCATGCGGGCCATGCAAGAAGTTCGCGGCTCACCAGGCTGGTCGGTGATTGTGGGGGCAAGAGACGCATGTTCCTCTCGCTGCGGGCTGTTGCTGTTGCCTACCGATGCTAGGTTTACCGCACGGTCGTGGCCGCCCTGGAAAAAGAAGAGGCGCACCGGAGTCGCAATTTTAGTTGGCAGACCATCGGCGCCAGTCGAGGAAACCGTGGCACTCGAGTTGGTTCGATATCGGCATGCGATGGGATGGGGTTGATCTCTTTGAGTTGGCACGGTGCCAAATTGGAGGTTGGGTACTCGTGCTCTTTCGAGGTCAAATCGCGATTTCTGTCAGGTGGGCACTTTCAGCACAGTGCAGCGACGAGTAGACAGCGGAAATATCATCGAAAATATGCCACATAATAGCAAAGCGACGGCGGTTTCAAAGCGAGCAATCTCTAAAAATTAATGGTGATACCTAGAGCAGGAGTCGCGCCCTGTTGGTTTGTGCCGCTCGCAACGCGGAGTTTCTTGATTACGAAGAGTACGAAGGTACGTACACCTCCCGAGAGACCGAGACTCTAACCGTTGTGGGCTTGGGCAGCTCGAACAATTTAAGCCTTGGCATTCTGCAGACAACATAATTCAGGTACAGTGTAGCTGTGTAGGTACCTGCCACACTCAAGCCACTTGCCAGTTGTGCGCGATAGCAACCGAAGGAAGTAAAAGAAAGTAAGATAGCGGGTTCTTCTGTTGGTATTCCCTCTCATTCCATTAGAAATCTTACCTTTGTCCCTCTTTCGATGAACTTCATGACATTTCTTTGCCGTCCTGCAAGCATGTAGTTGTCGTTAGGTAATTTTGAAGTACCAAGTCCGCAGCTTGCCGGGTATCCGAGTGGAGATTTTCCATCCCAATCCAATCAGACCCCTGACCCCAGGGACGTGCTGCCAAGTCTGGGCTCTGCAGGCCAGACCTCGATGATCTTGTGACGCAAAGAGCTTCCCAAATTCTCAATCCAGGGGCAAGAAGCGACTGAGACGAGTGAGACGAGCGAGAGTGTGATTCACAGGATTTGCAAAACATGCAATTGCGCGATGCCAATCATGTTGGATTGTGGCTGCTAAGAAATTAAAAGGTACTAGAGAGATTAAACAGCTGACAGCTGAGTGTGAGAATTTTTTTGCCGAACCCAGTTCGAGAAAGCAGTGTTTCAACGCCGCCAGAACCAGAAACCCTCGGTCATTTTTCCAAGACCGCTTTGCCCAGATCCGTCGTAGTGAGGTAATCCCCTTGGCCCCAGAAAAAAAATTGAAAAGAAAAAAAAAATAAACTTTTTGATGTCCGTTCCCCCCTGTGCCTTATTTTTTTTGTCCCGTATTCCCAATATTAGTTATTTGCCTGTTGTTTTGTTTTGTTTCGTTTGCCCCTTGCCACCTGCTCTTTCTCATCGATCAATTTTATGATCGCTATGAGCGTCCAGAAGAACGCCGGCGCCCACCTGGCGCCGTAAACGTCCTGCCCAGTCCTGTCCACATGGGTTCCTGTGCGGGAGCCGTACCCTCTTGGCTCGAGCCCCACAGCTTCTGAGCCGGCACGCACTCCTCAAAGTGATCCATGAACCCCTGTCTTGAGTAAAACCTGTCCCGTAGTTCCAGGTGGTCGTCCAAGAAATCGCCCTCAAAGGCGAGCTGGCAGCCCTTGCACGAGACGCCGGACTGCACCTCGCCCGTCATGCGGTCCAGGTAGGGCAGGCTGGTTGCCGCTTGGAACCTCAGAGTCAACGAGTCGGGCCACCGGCGGGCGGTGGCCTCGGCCTCGGCCTCGCCCGCCCCGCTGTCCCGCAGCGATCCGAGGGCGTGCTGCACGGCGACGATGCACCGGCGGCTGTCCGGGAGGGTGTGCAGCACAGGGAGCCGCTTCTGCAGCGCGCCCGCCTCCACGCCCGTCGCGTCGGCCACGCGGCTCAGGTAGCTGACCTGCATGGCCGGGGCCGACGCGATGCAGGTGAGGCAGCAGCGCGCGGCAGTGGGCAGGAACATGAAGCCACCAAAGGAACCGCATAACGAGCAATGCTGGGTTGTGAGAGTCGAGTACACGTCGAGGACATTTACGTGGGCCGCCATGCCGGTCCGCAGGAGCACGCAGAGCCCTTCCAAGGCATAGGCGCCGAGGTGGCGGAATTCCCGGATCGATGTGAGCACCTCGCGGGCTGTCCGGTTGACATGGCTGAAGCGCAGGGCCGAGGTGACGTCAAGTTCGAGGCAAATGAGCGATACGATTTCGAAGGGGAGGCGTCCGAGGCGTCCTAGGTCAAAATCGAAGTCGGGATGGCGAGACTTGTCGCCAAAGGGCTGGAATACGGTCGATCGAACGGCGTCGTGCTGGCTCGGGTGCACAGTGACGACGGGTAGCTCAAAGTCTGCCCGGTTGTAAGATGTGACGCCGAGGATAGCGTCGGCGTCTGGTCTTGGCGCCGGACCCGCCGCGGTAGTCTGCTCGGTGTGGAAGGTGTGTGATGTCGACATATTGATCAATTTGTCCAATTGTGAACGTAAAAAAACTGTTGAAAAACAGAGACCAAGAGGAGCCCATCTTGAGACGAATCCCCATGGATTATATACAAAGAAACGGCCTTCAGAAACCTGGAATGCGGGGGATCAAGGGCATGCTGTCCTCGTGACACTTCATTACGAAATGACTTGCAAGAAGATGGCAATACCAAGGCCCCGGTTGTTGAATACCGCTCCTTACCGTGCTTCCAGAACGGGCTTTGCTCAGGGAGCAGGATCTCGTGGCCAAAGCGAGATCCACAGCGGGGCCCGCCCAGGGGTTCGTAACGCGCCAAGTCTTGCGCTGAAGGTGTCACGATCTCGCCATCCGCTTCGTCATCGCCAATCGCGGGCTAACCGCCTGCCCCGTGTGTTGCAGGCACTGAAAGGCTCTGGGGCTGCTGGGCTTTATTCCAAACTCTGAAGGCTTACCACTCCACAATTTGCTCCAACGAGCCCCAACACCAGAACGCGACGAATGTTTGAAACATTTTCATTACACAATCGCAGGAAAATGACGGACGCCGATTCTGGATTAATCACACTCCCCACATGCGGGATTGTCAGGACTGCTGTCAGAATTGCGACAACAGCCGCAATAGCCACAGCAACCACACCAGCAGCACTCACACCAGTAGCAACCACGCCAGTAGCAACCACGACCACAACCACGACAACCCCTTTATCCGTTTCCGCCACCACGTCGACACGAACCTGCACGCGGGGCTGAGCACCCTGATGGCAGCCGGTCAACGGCGGGGAGACAGCAGCA